ATAATAAACTCTTAAAACTAAATTTCATAATTTTGGATTAATATCATGAAAGAAAGTTTTAAACGTATAAAGATTCTATGATTTAAAAATAGGGGAATAATCCTAATAGTAATCATACTATCAAAAATATGTCATTTGAATTTTAACTCTTTGGTAAGATAAATGTAAGGCAAGTTTTAGATTCCTCGTAAGGCTCTAAATAATGGCAAGAGTGGGAGAGACCGCACTTGTCATGTTGTTAAATCCTTTCAGGATACAAGGTCCTGTATTGTTTGTGGGTTCATACAACCCGGGAGAGATCTGTATAAGAAGGATAAAAGAATAGAATAAATGTGTTCTCCAAGCTTCTCTGTATCTCTAATAATACTCCTCTGGTAAAATGAAGTAGATGATCTAATCTTTAAACAATAGCAAGAGGGAGAGAAAGAGATCCTGAGATAGTTCTTGATGGAGATCTTTTACCTTTCCTCCCACTTGATACATAAGGAAAAAGAAAAATAAAATATGAGTCGTATAGTACAGGGTCTATCCACAGTGTCTCGATGATATATTGTGACTTGGGTGTCATGCGACTCATTAATTATTATGGAGCTCATGTCAATTTTATTTGTGTTGATACTTCAATTATTTGTTAATCCTGGGGATCATTGACTGGGAAAACTCAACAGATAGGCCTGAGGAGCACCCTAACTTTTGAGGAAGTGATGACTGGTATTTTTGCGATTCATAGGGAGGCTGAATAAGCAAGTGAATCTGCAGTTCAATCCACTTGGTCAGCTACCAGATTAATTCAGTAGGTTAATCCGCCAGGTCACTTTGTTAGGTGGTTTTAACAGATGTGCTGAGATATGGACTACGCTTGATGATGGGCTTTGAATCATATGTTTTTTCAGATATCCATTAGCTGTGAATTGGTCCAAGAAAGCACATTTATTCCATTGTGGGTCCATGACAACCAATTATCCATGTACACAGACCAAGCTTTGTTATATGCTACAAATTAATTAAACACAATATATCACACTCAACTAAAAAACAACAGAGGGTTCAAATAAAATAAAACATCATACTAGTGTAGCTATGCAAAATGCAATGATGTTGACTAAATAATATGGCTATATTTGTGAGTATATAGGTAGTAAGCATAGGTTTATTTTTGAACCACTAAACCACACCAGCTTATACAGGATATCAGCCACCAAAGCCATGGTGATATAAATAATGTATGTCTATGTGAGAAAGATTGATCATTAGTCACAAGATAATGAGATTAATGCATTTTAATTATCACCAAAATAATATTCAAGTATATATAATATTTAAATAAATGTGCCAGAATTAAAATTAAACTAGATTAATAACTTCACTAATTTTCTTTTGTGGTTTGACACAAGACTAGTCTATGCACATACCGAAGCTACTCCTTGCTTAGGATTCCAATATTCCACAAACGCAACTTGTTCACTTAATGAGTTGGTGGATGAACCGTAACAATCAAACACTTATTCTGAATGAGCTCCAATACAAGCAATGCCTTCCTCTTATGTATTCCTTGGTGTCGATTAAAACTATCACTAAATAACTGAAATAATAATCTCTGCAATTACAAGGTTAATATATACAAAAATAAAATTACTCATAAAATTCTCCTATATAGATTGAGAGAGAGAGAGAGAGTGAGTGATTACCAAAATAATGGCTTAAAGGACTTTGCATTGTGTGAACACTTTTAGTTTTCTTCACTTTTCTTTACAAAGAAGTAAAGTCCTTGAGTACACTTTCAATTCAGATTTCTTTCATATTTTTATGTCATTTTGCTTTATTTATCACTTGATGAATGCCAAAGGAAACTCTAGAAAGCAGCATAAGAATTCTTCTAAAATAACTTCCTCAAATGTCTTATCAGATTGCTACAAAATCTGGACATTATAGGCAATTGTTATGTGGATTGTACGTGTGAGATGTAGGTTTGGAGAAAATACTTATTAAATTATAATAAAATTATTACTTTTTAAATTATTTCATACACCATATGAAATCATATGTAAGTAACTTCATGAATTCAATAAAGATACAAGTAAACTATTTTTAATTAATACATATAGCATGGAAATAATTAATTGAATAATAAATTATGAAACTTAAGCCAAATTTTCTTTTTAATAATATTAGTAACCAATGGCAATGTCAAATAAATTTTTAGCTCTAAATTTCTAATTATTATAATTTTTGCAAATAAACCTAATAAATTAGATAAATAGAAAGTAAATTCATTTAAATTCCCATAATTTGTAAATAAGTTTAGAATAAGATAGAAACGAAATATAAATCAAATTTATTTAAATGACAGCACAACTTGTGTTCTTCATCTTTGAGACCTTTAATAAAAACACTCAAATTATAATGAAATCTAAATTTAGACAACCTTGGATAAAACTTTATACTCTAGTCTTTCTTGAATGCTCATCTTGAACCGTCTCCAAGTGATCAAAGCTCCAAGTTAATTTACTGAACACCATCATCATTCATGGTTGCTGCTAATTGAATGAACTCTGAAAGCACAACTTATTAGATGACAGCACACTATGTCAATCAATTATGAGCCCCTTGATTCACTATTCATGAAATATTAAAATAACTACTCACATATAAATAAAACTGTTCAGAGAACACTTAATCTATTTCAACATTTGTTTACCGCACTTTGGCCCTCATTTTTTCCTCAATTAACTCTTCACACTATTCTAATTTTCATCAAAATGATAAACCAAAACAACCCTTGCTACTCAACTACTCTCTGCTACACATATATCTCAAGACATTTTTTTGAATAACAAAATAGCCATTCGTGTAAATTGTATAATCACTTTGTGTGAACTATGGATAGTGAATATTGAGAAAGACAAAAGAATAGGAAAAGTTACTTAAATACCACACAATTCTTACGAATCTGTATATTAACACCTAAAGTTGATATTTACATTTATAATACTTTGGTGCCATAAACTTATGCATGGAAAGGTGTATTTCACTTTTGAATAGTTAGTAATAGTAGTATTTTTGATATGATGTTAATCATTTTAGTGTTATATATATGTAAACATGGATGTTTAGGTGTTAGATATGTGAATATATAAGAGTTGTTTGGTGTGTATGTAAGTGCCCCGAAAGAAGAATAAAACAACTAAAGACAAAATTTGAAGTAAAAAATATGAAAAGAAAAATAATGTAAAAGAAAAATTCGAGTGAGATTTCACTTATCTATTGTTAATCTCCTTGAAATTTCAATTTCACCTTATTCTGTTGTTTCATTTAAAATCCTCAGAGGCATAATTAAGTATTCAATTATAAGGTTCAATTAATTGTTCGGATTGAATTTTTTGTTAGTTAGTGAATCTTCTGTCATGCTTGTTGAAGCTAATTGGATTTTCCATTGAACTAATTTAAATTTTGTTCCTTCAATTTTCATGTTGTTATTGCTAGAAAGGGGGTTTTCAAGAGTAAAATATGCTACCAATTGTATGATATATCTACAATTGGATTGACTTTGTGGTCATCTTGGCACTAGTGTTAGCACAATTGAAGGTAATAAAAATTGAATTGTGTATTCAAGCACCTTTTTTTGTGTAAATTAACTTAAGACATCGCCTTGTATAGGCTACAAATCTTATTCACATCTCAACTTGTATGCCATTTTTATAACATATAGCTAGAATCATAATATCATTATGGCCATGGATACATCTAATAAAAGGTTTAACTAACTCTGAATATTTTACTAGGAATATTATAAGATGTTAAGAGTTTATTCAAGCTCATATAAAGGATAGGAAACATAGAAATTGTTATGATTAACATTTTGATAACGTGTATTTATATGAACCTTATCTCTTCATTTAAGTGCCTACAATATTTTTTTTGCTTATTAGATTAGTTAAATTAGTTTATATAATTTTTTCGTTAAAGTCTGTATTGATATGAACTATATCTTTATATTTAAAGTCTGACAGAAATTTATTGTTTAATTAAACCAGTTTAGCTTATTTAGATATTATTTTGGTTGAGTTCCATATGATTTAGAATTCAAATTTGTTGGTTGAATTGGAGGAATGCTTCAGGCCTATTGTGTGATAGAAAAGTACCGCTTAGACTGAAAGAAAAATCTTATAAAATGGTGGTGAGACCTGCAATGCTCTATTGTGCAGAATGTTGGCCTTTAAAAGAGAAGCATAAAACTAAGTTAAAGTGTTGTCGATATGAGAATGATTAGGTGGATGAGTGGCTTTACACTTAGACAAAATGCGAAATGAATATATCACAAGGTCGGTGTAGCTCCAGTGATGGACAAAATTAGAGAAAGTCGTCTTAGATGGTTTTGTCACATTAAACGTCGACCATCTGATGATCCGATTAGGAGAGTAGATGTTTTAGATTCGACTTATGTTAAGAAAGGCAGAGGTAGACCTAGGAAGACTTGGGCTTATTGCATAAAAAAATGATTTTAATTTATTAGACCTAAACGAAAATATGACATTAAATAGGACGCAATGGACAAAAAGGATTCATGTAGCCGACCCCACGTAGTGGGATTAAGGCTTTGTTGTTGTATCTTTAATAAATGCATCAAGTGTTTCTAGAGAAAATTGTTAGTAATATACTTGAGTGCATTCCTATAAATATAAAGTGTCACGTCACTAGTCACAAAGACAATGATGTGCTACTAATTCAAATATATTTCTCGGCGTAAATAGTATCATTAGTCTACTTTCATTTCAAACTATGCTATAAGACATGAACGGTTGCCAGATTTAGAGAGTATATTTTAAGTGATTTAACATCTGAGAATTTTCTTAATCTTATCTCACTGCTTCTTCTATTATGACTCCTAAGATTCTCCTTACTATTTCTGCATATAATATTATTGAATTTCATGATTGCCCTATTTAAATGAGGAATTTGGCTGGCTGATCCACCATTCTGTGTTGGTGCCTTTTGAGCAGGCTTTTCTCGCTGCTATTGCTATAATTATTGGAGCAACAAAGGGAGCTGAGGTATGGTGATTATTCACTCTCCTCAGGGCATTGTTGATCTATTCTAGTCCTGCGGTTTTATGCATGTATATCTCTTGGAACCTAACTTGTATTGTAAAGTAACGAAGTCAAAGGCCATTTAATCAGCAGCCTATAGACTGAGCAGGAGCGTACTACATGTTTGTCCCTTCTCACAACAGAATGTCATTTCCTTCCTATGTTTTTTTTGTTTACTTTATATTTATGCTTTTGTGCTTTAAACTATACTCTTATTTGCATCCTGAACTGCTGATTCTCTTTTTTTTTTCCAGGCGTAAATTTATGATACCAATATATTATAAGTGGAAATATCAAGTTTCTAGTATTAGATATGTAATTACATAAGAATTGTGGGATGTATATCTAAAATTTCCTCTTTTTTTTTTTTTATTTTGGCACTTGAGCTGTTTCTCATAAAATGTCAATGCTAATTTACTCTGAACCTTTCTATGTATTTCACTGGTCTTTATATATTCCAGTAGTGTGGCTGTTTGATTAGCTAGTTTAATTTGCTGTATCATTAGCTCTATATACTTTTGTATGTCCAACATATGAAGTTAAATCTTTGGCCAACCTGATTCTAAGAGGACTATAATTCAAGTGAATATACCTATATATTCCACTGCCAAGTAACAATTATTTATATTCTTTACGGCTTATAGTAAACTCAATTCGTTTGTTTCTTTCAATGATTTATTTTACTGGCTGACTGAAATTTCTCCTACGGATTTATTTGGGCAATGAATATTGTTTTGTCAGATCTAAGTGGGATGCAAATCAAAATTAATATGGATTGTATGTGCAAAAAATGTCAGCATTTCAAGTGTAATAATGAGGCTTTTTTTCACATATGTAATAATCACGATGAGATCTCGGAGAAATTTTCTTTGCCTTACAACAATTATTTTGTAGAACTAAATTTATTTTTAATTGAATTGAGTGAAACAAATTATTTTTGTCAGAGATGTATTTTACCAATCAGATGAGCTTTAGCGAATTATTATTATCATTATTTTTTTTTGGTTGCAGGCCAGTCCATGAGAACAGCCAAGACTGAGGAATGAGCATTTTTCCGTTTTGGTTCACGAAGACTTGTGGTATTTCTTGCCTCTGGCACCTAAAATTTAAATATTACACGCATATCACCCAATTCCTCCTCACGTTTCGCATACATCTTCGTTTTCACGGATAGGCAGCGTTTAAAACATAATTTTCAGTCCTCCTTGACTTGTCTCCAGTGCCTTTCGTCTCCCATTGGAAACTCCTCATGCAGAACTCTGTACCGATTGCTTTCATCCCGTTGGCTTCTCGCTCCTTCCCTGCCTTTTGTTTTGTAAAGTCGACGATAGATAGTGAGGCCATAAAGAGTTCCTCATCACTGCCCAGGGTGAGGAGCTGGATTTGGAAACACGGGTGGGAGGAACCTTTTTTTTTTTGAGGGGCAAAAACTGTAAAAGAGTAGTAAAATTTTAGGAGGGATAAAATTGATATTTTAAGAGGGACAAAATTGTTATTTTAGCATGGGCAAAAGGTAAATTGTCATTCGATAAAGTCAAATTTTGAATTTGTGAGGATTACCTTCTGTAGAACCTACCTTGGTCCACCCCTAGGCTGAAAGAGCGGCCAACCAGTCGCTACCTTCCTGTTACCAAAGTTTGGCAGCCGTGCGTCGGCACCTCTTTCCGGTTGGAAGCATGGAATGGTAAATATGAGAAATGTAAGAGAACTCGGTGGTATGAATGTAGTATTTTACCTTAGCTGTTTCATATGAAACAGTATGTCTATGCATGAAAAAAAAAAAAAAATCCTTTGTTAGGAATCACAAGAGCCACCTAAAAAGGTACACAAAATGAACAAAACACGTGGGACTGTTTTTAGAATTATTTTAGAAAATGCGCTTTGGGCTGGCAAAATGGCTCGTTGTTCGCAAACAGCTCGTGTTCAGTTCGTTAAGAAATTTATGTTCGGCTCGTTTGCTAAGTTAACGAGCCGAACACGAATAAATATTTGCGTTCTTGTTCGGCGCGTTTTGGCTCAAAATACTATTAATCAATTTTATATATATATATATATATATATATAGATAATGAGTAGTATTAAAAGTATTTATTAAGAAAATATAATATAAAATATTAAATTAGATTCAAGTGTTCGGCTTGCTAAGCAAACGAGCCGAACACGAACGCACTTTTTGAGCTCCAAGAATAAACGAGCAAAACACGAACTGAACCTGGGCTCGTTTGTGTTCGGTTTGTTTACACTTCTAATTGCGTTGGTGGAAAGAAAGATTCGAGATTGGTGAAAGAAAAACTCAATTGCTAAAAAAATTAATTTTTTAGTATAATTTAGGGTTTAATCAGTATATACATTTGTTTAAATAAATTAATTTTTTCAAAACATTTAAATTTGTACTTTCTCGAGTTTCTTTGACTCCTACCTTTGGTAAACAGCCAGTATCAGTACAGGTAGGGTTGTGTAAATGAACGAGTGCACTCAATGAATAATTCACATTAGGCTTAATTATTAGGTGATTAAGTCTGTTCAAATTGATAAATAAATAAGTTCAAGAGCTTGAATGTTAAATAAGTGAAATATAAATATTTTCAAATTATTTATTTATATTTATGGAAAAACTTATTTATTGATTAACAAATAAATTGTTAATTATTTTATAATAAATTTGACGGTAGCTTATATATACATGATATATTATTAAAATAAAATTCAACTAATTAATTTTTTGATTATATATTAAGTAGTAATATTTTTTAATTTTATTTAAACAGTTTGTTTGTAATTTAAATTATTTGATTATAAAAAAAAATTATTTGCATCCTGCATATTAACTTATTTGGTTCATTTTAACTAGTTTTAACTAGAGATAATGAATCAAAATTTATTTGATCGTTTATTTATTTGAATTTATGAAATCACTTGTTTATAATTCTATATGAAAAGCCAATTACTTAATTTTTTTGGCTTATTCACTAATTTATTAAAGTGCTCGTTCAATTAATATAAATAAGTCAAGTATGATTCTTCAAAAATTTAAAGAAGCCAATTATGAACATATATATAACAGACTCATTTGAACATGATTAACTTATAATAAGACTAACATAAGTCCATTTCTAGGTATACTTGGCTCGATTCGACTTGATTATAAGCCTTAATTATGAATGTCATTTTTTAGAACACTTAGTTGCTACCATTTTGATAATCCAATTTGAAGTATTAAAGAATCTAATCTAGAGATCATTATAAGCAAGTTTCATTTATGCCTCCAAATACGGAATTTTTATTCGGTACGTGTACCGCATGAGGTCCTACATACGGTATCGAATAAAAATTCGCCACGTGGAATTTGATTCCACGTGGCTTTTCACCTTAAAAATGTCAATTGTTTACCCTCCCCGGCCCGAATCCCGCCAAAAAAAAAGCGTCTTTTTATCCTTTTCGATTCCCGCCAATTGAAAAAAAGTGGCATTTTGTCTGCTTTATGGTTTAGGGATTCGGTATATTCTCATTTTTTGCCTCGTGTTCGCTGGAGCTGGTTCGATGGAAATAATTTTTGACGAAGAAATATTGGTGGAATCTCCAAATACTCCTGAGAAACATAACAATGAGATGGAATCTCAAAATATTTCTGAGAATAATGAGATTGAGCAGAGTTTAGATGCGACAGAAGGACATCGGCAGGTACGTTGAGGACTTGTTTGAATGCAGTTCTAGGTTTTAAGGAATAATTTTATTGCTAATGAAGTTTGCTCTATTTTTAGATGAGTTTTAACGTTAAGTTTCGGTTGGGTGGGATGTGGTATTATTTAGGTAATATCTTGGTGATACACTGATTGTTTTTGCAGTTGCTCTCCATTTCTTATTGTTCATTAGAATATTAGTTGGGGTTTGATGTTATTTTGGTAGTATCACAGTGTTATTTTGGTGGTATCATAATGTAAAGTGAATGTCTTGAGAATTTGGTATTATTTTGGTAGTATCACAATGTAACGTTACTTTCATGCGGATTTGGTGTTACTTAGATATTATCTCGGTGATACACTGGTTGTTTTTGCAGTTGTTTTCCATTTCTGGTTGTTCATTATAATATTAGTTGTGGTTTGATGTTATTCTGGTAGTATCACATTGTTATTTTGGTAGTATCATAATGTAACGTTACTATCGTGGAGATTTGGTGTTAGTTTTGTAGTATCACAGTGTTATTTTGGTAGTATCACAATGTAATGTTACTGACGTGAGGATTTGGTGTTATTTTAGTAGTATCGCAGTGTTATTAAGGTAATATTAGTATCGTAGTGTTATTAAGGTAATATTGGATTCGCTGACTTGATTTTCTTTTAGGAGGCCAGTAACATTTCTTAACGACATTTTATAGTATTATTATGGTATTATTATCTTGTTATTTATGTATTGTAACATTGTATTAATGATGTTTGAATCTGCAGTCACCCGAGGCAGAGGAATTGCTTAATGCAGTGGTCTACAACGAGAATGAAACATATGAACAATATTGTTTATATGCACACCATATTGGATTTACTGTGTGAAAGGAACACAGTGGTTTCTGGCCGAATTCAAAGAAGCTGAAGACAAAGGACTTTGTTTGTGGTAAGGCTGGTTTCAAGAAAGAGTTGAAGGACACTATCACTGTGAGGTTCAACAAGGGTTGTTTGTCCAGCCATGATTTGATATGTTGTTGATTTAGAGGGCAACTGGTTGGTAAAGAAATTCATAGAAAGTTACAATCATCCGTTGGAGGAGGACGGTGACAAGCATCTACTGTGTTCCAGCAGAAAGATGTGTGATATCAGTGCTGATATCCTCAGATCAATGACAAAATCAGGGATTAGAACAAAAATGCATTCAGATTCCTCGCAACTGAGGTTGGAGGAGTGGAGAATCTTGATTGTACAAAGAGGGGTGCATATAATTTCATACAAAGAGTGAGAAGAGTTCAAATTGAATTAGGGGATGCTATTTCTCTCATACAATTGTTCACTACTTGACAAGCAGAGGATCCAATGTTTGCGTGGGACTTCCAAATTGATGAGGCAGGATGTTTGGTAAATTTTTTATGGTGCGACGGGATGTCCAGGATTGATTACGACTATTTTGGGGATGTAATAATATTTGATACAAGTTATAGACCGAATAAATACAATTTATGTTGTGCTCCGATTGTCGGTGTGAATCACCACTG